TGCAACCACCCAAACGGCGACCATCGGTTTTTAAAGAAGGTAAAACTCTCAATGCAATGTCTTAATTAAATGTAAACGATTGACATTTAGACTAAAGACTAAGAGATAATTTAGACTAAGAGTTTTATCTTTAAATGCCGATGGCTGCCGTTGGGTGGTTAAATCATTATTTCAAATTTTTTAGTGGAAGCAAACACTACAAGTAATTTCGCGAAAAAATTACGGAGTAGTCTAACTTTTGCAACAGCGTTCAGAGCCCAGACACTGCAACGACCATCACGGCGAATGCAGGGGTTGTATTGAAACAGGGTTCATTGACACACTTCTCCAGCCCTTTTCTTTTTAGCCCTTGGAGAGTTCATCCACACAAATAATTAGCATGGAGCTAAAATATCAGACGAGCTCTTGACATGATTTTTTCATCACTTGTTTTTTATTCGTCTTTTCGCCACGTTGTTGGGCGTTACCTTTAGCTTTTGTCAATGTACCTTTAAATATCAAAAGTTCAAGTTAAGCACTTTTCAAAGGAAGGAATGTTCAGGGTATTTTTTCTTTTCTTTTTCCTCCTACTTTGTCATCTGCCTCTGATCTCGTGAGGTTTCCTTATTTTTACCTGCCGGAAGAAATGTTGTATGAATGATTATGCAAAAGCGGAAATATTTTCGTTTTAATCATTATAGAAATTGCGCGTGTGTCCAAGTGAGTAAGTGACGCCCGTTAACTTGGTTTTAACGTAAATTTATAGTTTTATTTTCCTTTCCTAAAAATAAATGTAAGCGTCGTTTCACAGAATTCTTTTCTGGTGAATACTTTCCAGGTTGCTTTGCGCCTTCAAACTAGTAGGTAGACTACAAAACATCTTTAATGCTCGAATAGTTGCTCATCTTGCAGTGGACTTTACGTTTGTGCGTCCGCTCCGCTATGAAACTACAGAAGGTCATATGGAATCAAATTAATATACTTAAACTTATTACAGAATTGTAATCCAGTTGGACGCAAGGAATATTTTAAAAATGATTTCAATCGAAAGGAGCAATGAAGCACACCAATTGTAGGCACTATTAATTTGATGCATTTGGATATAAGTCTTAGTAGCACAATGATGTCCAAGTGATATAATCACAATTTACTTAGTGGATCATCTGTGTACAAGTTTATCCTAAGAGGAACTGCAGGCTTTGTATTTTTCTTTTAAATCAATAAATTTTCCTCTCATACCAATTGTTTCTCTTCTCGTGTCAACAGTCTCTCCTGTTGAAGAACGTTCATCAGAGATAGATGATTCCTAACTATTAGACATGTAGAGATTGATAAGACTACATTAGCATTACTATCTTGTTAATATGGTCTAATTGAGGGGCTTGGAGGACGAGGCGCAAAAGTGCATTTTTGAAAAAAATTGAGATATTAATGATTCTAATTAAAACTAATCTCGATGCATAATCTATGAAAAATTCGCTATTCAATTCCAATTTTTAAGCATCAAAAAGTCACTTCAAACTTTCTTCTCGTCATAAAGATCCATGTAATTTCGAAACTTCAAACACGCATTTTTCTAAATAGCAAAAACTTCACTTATGCGCCTTGTCCTTCAATCCCCTCAATTGTCATTTTTACTCCACGAGACACTGAAATTCTGTAAACAATGAATCTGAACTCTCCTCCACTTTGAATACTTTTCACTTTTTAGTAATTCTTTTGTCTGGTTTTTGACGAAAATTTTCTTTGAAAAAATAGTTTTAAATAGGATTGTTGGTCGAAATATCTTTAACTTGTCAAGTAGTGTAATTTTTATTCACTCAGCAACAACTAAAAGTTCTGGAAAATGACATTATTGCAACTATTCAGAGATTTTTTTTTATTCCAGCACCGATTGTACATCGTCCAGTGGTACAATTTTCTACGAAAATTATTTTTTCACACTTTAAAAATTCTCTTTCTTGGACTTTACCCAAGGAAAATTAAGCGAACTGTGACAGAAGCATTTAGGAGTATATTAAATAATTCGGGCATTAACATTTAAGAGACTTTGTAAGCGGGGGGACTGTTTAAAAAAGGAGAAGATTGAGTTTTTAAAAGGGGGAAACGGAAACCAGGCGTTTCAGATAACATTTCCCTTGATTTATTATGCAAATATGGGTATTCTGAAAACGGCACATTTATATTCTCGCAGGATTCAACGATGGAGTAAAAAAGGGAGCGTTCGGAAAAAGTCCCCCTCACGACAGCAGAATCCCTTTTTAATCTGAGACTGCTTCATTTGTCAAACGGTTGTCTCTGCTGAAGAAGTGCGCTTTCGGCGGCAATCGAACTCAATCAGGACGTGTCGGAAAGACAGAACCCGATTTGCTTAGTGTGGGAGGAACACATGAGCTTCGCATACATTACTCAAAAAAATATCGAGTGTTTAAACCGTTTGAATGGCAACACTTCACGTGATATCCAGTTGTAAAAGCCAGGAATCTTTCAAAAATACTTTTTATCATATCCTCGGCACAATCCGTTACCTCAGCTCATGTTTACATACGTAGTCACGTACGTTTTACGTTAGTAATGTACATCATGTTACGTTATCACTTATACCTTTATATTCTTAGAGATACTCTTTGCATCAGTTATGAATGACGTGGACGAAAAATACCTAAATTAAAAGATCGTCGTTCATTTACCTGACGCAAACATTATTTTCTCACTACATTTTCAGGACGGATATCTTTTTGCAATCGACGAATGTTCGAAAAAAGATACAATAATACAAATCAAAAGAATCAATATTCCAGGATGAGTGGAGGGTGATATAATTTTACCAACTCGTCGCCTACCTGACGTAAGAGCATAACCACACTCTGCAATGAACCCTGTTTTCCGTATGTTTCAATGCTTTCCCGGGCTCATCTCAATATGTAGTTACGCCCTTATATCAGCCAGGCGACGAATTGAAAGTATTAAATACCAACTGGTGACTTCAATATTACAAAATTTGGCATGCGGAGGTGCATGTTAGCTCATTCTCCTATCCATACGTCATCATGGGTAAACGTGTTTCCCGCGAGCAGAATTAATAAGCAGAAATGAGGAAATGCGGTGCATCTTTTCACATTTTCCCTGCAGTTAGGATAAATTTGTATTCCGTTCAGATCTGCAATGCATTCGCTTCCATACCTGTCAGTACCGCGCATGTTACGTCTGCTAGTGAAGTGTATTTTGGTGTCAAGATGACGTTGACATCATGTATGCATTTTTCAAAACTCCATACGCTGTGCATAGAGTATGGCCAGAATGCTGATTTAATTTGAATACTCCACTAGATTATCTAGGCCGAATTTGAATCAAACTTCCATTCGGATAGGATTTTAAAAGGGCACATTTGGGTCACATCGTTTGAGAGCACAGAATCAATTTTCTCCTTTTAAGTTTTGAAGAAAAGAACAACTTGTTTTCTGGCAATAAAATAACTGAGAGCTATAGCAAATAGAAGAGAGAGAACAAAAACAGGCAAACAAAAATCGACAGGATAGTTTTTTTTTCACTTTACATTTCAAACTGGTGTAGTGGTATGAACTTTTAAATTTTTTAGTTCTTATCTAAGTTGAGTAGAACTACGCAATCTTAGTAAAATTTTAATTTTTTTTGGGTCTTTTTTGCACTCTATGAATGTATAAGACAAACTCTTAATTTTTAGACCCCCTTCCTCCTGGACGACTTTTCACACCGCAAAAATCCCTCGCCTTCAAATGAAAAATTAAAAAAATTCCCCCCCCCTTTTGCTCTGACATTTTTTAACCAGACATAGGTCGTTACATAACTGTATGGCCTTTTCTTGTAAAGCATCCCTTATTCCCCTCCCGAGGTCGTCCATAAATGACGTCAGGAACCCTCTCCCAGTTGTTGAATCCTCCCCCCCAATCCATGTCAGGTCCTTTCTCCCCCATCTCCTCCCTCTTCAACCCATCTGTAAAAGAGTATGTTACGGAGACCCCCCTACTCCTGAGAACTTGATTTTACGCATGGACAGTCCCAAAGAACGCTAAATAATACTGGAACGATCTCTATTAACAGGATCATTTTCAAAATAAGTTTCATTGAATTTCATACGCTGAAAATGTAGTGTTCCCATGCACACGACCACCCAATGAGAAAATATAACTGAAATTTTGTGTCAGGGAGGCTGAAAGTTCCGGGCGCTGGAGCCATAGCTTCAATTGCTCCGGCTCTCCGGAACTTTCGGCCTATGAACCCGGAACGTGGACGGTGCGTCTGTATATGTAGCTCATGGTTACGGCTTCCACAGCCAGAATTGTGTTTCAGTGAACTAGGTTTACCGTAGACATAGTTCCTTTGGATTTAAATACACCCGTCTTCAAAATAAGTTTCATTGGACTTTAGGTGCCGCACAGTGGATACAGTCAATAAGAGAGTATAAAATTTTTGACTAAATTTGCAAATTTCGATGTTTATTTTGTCACGTTTTAAATTTCAAAGGGTGCTTTTCGAAAAACATTTCACGAGGAAACCAATGGTACCACTTTTAGAACCTCCAAGTCTTCACTGAAAAAAACACTCCGGCCGTGGAAGCCGTACTTACGGGCTATATAGAGATACCGTCCGTGTTCCGGGCTCAGAGGCCGAAAGTTCCGAGCGTAGCAACCGGAGCAGTCGAAGTGCTCCGGGTGCTACGCCCGGAACTTTTGGCCTCTGAGCCCGGAACACGGACGGTATCTCTATATAGCCCGTAAGTACGGCTTCCACGGCCGGAGTGTTTTTTTCAGTGATTGTATAAACGGAGTTGTATTGAACGGATACGCCCCGTGGTACCCGTGTGTCTCCGTCATCACCATCTCAATTCGCCCCTTCCGGAGAGAACTAGGCAACCGGCAGAGCACCCTTCAGAAAATGTCCAAATTTTGTCCGAATTCCTGTATTGACTCGATTCACTTTGCACCTGGTATTCAGTTTTTCCAGGCTTGCGACAAAATTAAAGAAAATTTCTCATGACTCACCTTAGCTGACAGGGATTCCCTCCTGTCGGTGGGTGGCGATGGTGGTGGGAGGGGTGTGGGGGCGGGGGGTAGAAGCTCGGTGACATTCTCCTCGGGGCCGAGGTGGCCCTCCGACTTGGAACCCCGCGTCTTGGCCGGTTCCTCGGCGTCGTCCTCCGTGTCGTCGAAACTGTTCCTCGGCGTCGTCTCCTTGTTGTTCTCCGACACGTTCGGCTCCGACGTCGACTTCTCCAGCTTCGTGTACGTCGGCAGCGGGAGCAGCGTGATCCCCGTCGACACGCCGCGCCCTCCCGAACGCCCCGCCACCTCTTCGCCCTTCGTCTCCGTGATCGTGATCACGCCCTTGAACGGATACGCCCCGTGGTACCCGTGTGTCTCCGTCATCGCCATCTCAATTCGCCCCTTCCGGAGAGAACTAGGCAACCGGCAGAGCACCCCTTCAGAAAAGAACTAGGCAACCGGCAAAACACCTCGTGGAAAAAGCCCCTTCTAACGAGAGTCAGGCAACCGGCAAAGTACTTTTTTCAAAGAAGACACAATAACCAGTAATGCACCCCTTCGAAAGCCAACTAGACAACCGGCAAAACGTCTTTTTTAAAAAAATATAGGCAATCGGCAATACGCCCCTTCAAAATGAAACCAGGCAACAGGCGAAACACCTCTTCGAAAGAGAGCTAGGCAACCGGCAAAGCACCCGGGCTCGGCAACCAGCAATACACTCCTTCGAACGAGAATAAAGCAACCACGTCTTGGGAACACGAAAGTTGCAATTGGTCCTGCCAAATTCGGTTATTCTCACACGTTAACGACACATTTTATCGCGGCTACGAGGAGCGAACGAAACGAGTCTGATGGAAAATATGTCGTTCCACGGAAAATTTAGAGGTTGGGAAAAGTCGAGCGCGGACTCTGCGAGACAGCGCGAACTTTGTAAGACAGAGCTTTCCGAAACAAGCCGGCCGAAGCACCCGACACGCTGTGGCGAAAGCGAGTCTCGGCCCCTACTATCGACGCACTGGCTGGAGTGGTTGGTCGGGGAGTAAGGGTTGAGACGGGCGCGAGGACGCATGCCTGCAGCCTCCACCACCCCTGCCCGGCCCCGCTGCGGCACAGTGTGAGATTAGCATCCCTTTCACTGTCCCTTGTAACCTTGCCCTCCATATCACGTTGCAGAGCGGTCGGCTCCGATGTAACTTCACGCAACTTATTATGCACTGTGTTCTGCGGGTTGCATAATCTGCCGGTTTTTGTCCGAGGGTGGGCGGGCGGTGAGGGAATTGGGGCCTAAAGCTCATTCCTGAAGCGCTGGGAGGAAAATGTTACGCAAGCGGCAAGCCCCCTCGGCACATTTCTTTGCAGCATCATTTAGCGAGCTGTCTGAAAAATGTACCCTCGGAGAATTCATTGCGCAAACTTGCGTTGAAAACAGAGTTTCTTGGGGTTAGTTTCGTGTGGAAGCCTTTACGACTGTATGGATAAGCGTTAAAATTCAAAGGGAGCTCAATAATTCATAAAGGAACACCGCCATCCATATAAAATAGAGTACTTATATGTATAGGCTATGGATTATTATCTCCAGTTGGCACCGGCTCCAGAAATTTTAATACACAGAATTTTAGCGTAAATGTTTGGCAAATGTATCATTAATGTAATATCGTTGATGGGGGATGTTTTAAAGAAAATTCACGGAAAATTCAATACGTCATGTTGCCCGGTATTCCTGTTAAGCAATGAAATACATATTCACATATGTAATTTGGCCTTGTTCATTTTCTTCACACCGCAACTGTTTTTTAAATTACAATTTTTGAAGGAAATCCGATTTAAACACAAAGTTTTTACGAACTTTCTGAAAGAATAGGGAAATATTTTACCATGATGCCATCGTAAAATATAACAAGACATGACTGACGTAATTAAAAACTGATAATTAAACGGAACGTATCTTTTTTCAAAAGTTATTTAAGATTTTATGATTTATTTTCATTTTTGCTATACAAATCAACCCTCCAGCAAGGCGAACTTTTTAATATTGAATAATATCAATTTGCCGATAGGAGGCTATGCTATGGATCATTGAAAGAATTCTCCTTAATGAAAGGTCACCATGAGGTTACACTCCCGTGAATTTTCAAACAGAGACTTTTGTTCATTTTTAATTAAGAAATCGATCCGTGACTCAGTGGGAAGCGTGAGGGATGAAGAAATGAGAAACTCGCGTCCTCATTGTCACACGCATCACCTTCTGCGTGACAATAAGAGGGAGGATCGCGCCTTTGGCATGGTGTTCTTTGCGATGTATCGATTTATCTGCCATTTAAACCTATGGAAAAGGATCGATTAACACGGTGTCCGCAACGAACCCTTAATAATCGATTATTTACCAAAGCTTCAAATGGGAGAACATCGATAATCGATTATTCACGCCTCGCGCTGGGATCCGGACTCTCAGATGGGTCATAAAGACGATTAGCGGCGGCAGAGCGGGATTGAGTTGCAGCGACTGCAAGCTGCAGCCAGGGATGATGGACCCTGGCTCGAGGGTGCAAGTTTACGACTTAGCGGGGTGGATCCGAGGGAGCCGGGCCAGGGATGGGGGCGTAAAACTTAATTTATGCAAACGACTCCGCTCTACAATGAGCCTTTGAGTGAGTGGTGAGTGACTCATGACTCACATGCACCCGTTCGACCATCCTTTTCGTTGCCAGGCTCACGATCGACATAACACGACTCGAAAAGCACAACGCTCACAAATATTTTGTTAGGAAACCTGCAATGGTCCTGTTGCAAACTTTTGCTACAGCAAAAATAAAAACATTTTCTTGAAAAAAATGTCTCAAGAATTACGATGAGCGCATCAGCAAAGTGTTGTGTATGTTGCCTATACCTTTTTGTTGAAGGAGAACATCTGATCGAAAATTTTAATAAAATTGAAATAAGTTCCAATTTTTCATTGCATTATTCCAAATTTTCTTTTGTTAATTTTTCTGTCTTTTAATTCCTCTGTGCGCTTTAATGGTATTAAAACATCGACGCTTAGGTTTATAAATTGTCAATTTTTTAAATTCTTATTGCAGAATGTTGTTTAGTTTAATTATAGTCAAAAAAATCAATCATTAGCGGAAATTAGATAATGAGTTCATGTGCTTGGACTGATTCTGAATAATGCCGACCAAAATAAGTTTATTTGTATTTTGTAACCAGAAACTACTATTTCTCACTAATTTATGAAAGCACCCATCTGCACAAGCAAATCGAAAGGACATGTGATGTGTCTAAAATTAGTGAGAAATAGTAGCTTCATATTGCAAAATGAAGTCCAGATATTACGACAAATAAAGCTAATATGCGGTGACAAGAACTGAAAGGGCAACGAATCGGTAAAAAGCCCAATTATATTATCTCGCTGGGAAAAATTGGAGGCACTAATCATGTTAAAGCCACAACCTAGTTCGGTTTCGGTGTGATGAAGAATCAACTTTCATCAAAGCACAGTGGATCGAGTCAATTAGAGAGGTCGGACATGAAATTTTTGACTTAAACTGCACATTTTGATGTTTACTTTGTCACATTTTAAACTTAAAGGGGTGCTTCTCGAAGAATAGTTCACGGGAAAACCAATGGAACCACTTTCCGTACTTCAAAGTTGAGTATAAACTGAGTTATAAGCGTTTAAAATTTCCAAATTTTGTCTGACCTCTCCTATTGACTCGCGATCCATTGTGCGAAGGTTCATAACAGGTGTGCGAAAATTATTCGGTTACGAATTTTATCCGCGCGAATTTCAAACGAAACATGAATAAATGATTGATTCAATTTGCGAGGGGTGAAAGAGTGGAACGAGGAGGAAATAGAGGGCAAAAAGGGACGGCCTTACGAACCGCGACGCAGAAAGCCGAATGTTATCAAATTTGCGGTGAAACAATTGTGACGCTGAACCGCGCACGCTGGAAGCTCCGGATACAAAGCCATTGTTATCGAACTATCAAAACTTGCGTCCATTAAAACTTGGTGGACTTATTGATTGAACAACTTCCCTTCTAAAGTTTTTTGACGAGTTCGGCCCTCGAAAAAAGTAGGGGTCTATTGCGATGGCTCAACATTTTTCGAAGCAGATTTTTGGCTGTCTATTTTTTTTCATTCGACTTGTTTTCAATATTTATGAGAAGAAAATATGTCCGATCGTAGGAAAAAGTCTATTAATGTAGCATACCCAAAGGTGGCACTTACGAATAGTGCCAACAGTGGCATACTTATGAATATTGAGGCTTAATGACTTACAGGAAAGACTTACAGGAGAGACTCGAGTTTCTTTGAGTGTAATCTTCTGTGATATTCTCAGCCTTTGGAAAAATAATTTCTAAATGTAAGATGAGCAGATGGTGTGCGTAAAATCAACAATTCGTCGCGTTCCTGACATAAGGGCATAACTACAATTCACGATGAGCCCTAGCGTCCGTATTACTAAATGCGTTCTTGGGCTCATTTCAAATTGTAGTTGTGTCCTTTAGCCAAGCGACGAATTTAATATTGAATTCATAGAAGCATTTTCATGAAATCATGATATATATCTACCGTATCGAATTTAATGTTTTTTTGACATAAAGAGCTACGTAACTTTCAAATTCAAAAAACAAGCTGGGTTTGATTTAGAGGCGTCCTACCACTGGACATTTTTTTGGTTGTTTTTTCGCCTCGGTTACCGATTTTTCTTTTGTTTTTTAGTTTGGAATTTGACTAAGATCACTATTTCAGAAAAAAATTAAATGTTGAAAAAGTTTTTTAAAATGAGAGTCCGAAATTTGTAATGTCCGTGACGCTTTATTTCTCAGTGTAGCTCTTTCTGAGGTTTACTTTTTTAATGATTTTGAGGAGAAGATAGGGGTTGCATGATTTTAAGGATTTCTTTAAATTTTTCATGCCAAATAATTAACCCTTTCTGTAACTGTAAAGCTTCAAAATACAATGTCCGTGACTAAAAAAAAAAAAATGCCCATCTTTGAGTCACTCTACCGTTAGAAACGCTTAAATTCGTCGTTTTTTCCATAAAAGAACATAACCATATTTCAATGTTGCGAAATTTCCCCTCGCTAATTGCAATTTTAACTGGAGAATAAGCATATCGAGCTCAACATTTCGCCGTATTTTCATCTTAACTCATGTAAAAATCAGACTTGAGGTAAAAATTGCACAGGTACATCTTTGAAAAAAAATCGAATCATTTGAGTCAATTTTGCAACTAGACTCTAGACCAATAGGTCCCGGGTTCGAATCCTGGTCCTGGTGGTGGCGACAAATGTTCAAGGAACTGATGAGTGGATCTGCAGAAACAGACTCCATTCGGCCTTAATCCCTGAAAATTTGAAAGCCTGGAGCATCCATTTGTACTATTTCCACCCCGATGCTCATTTAAGGTTGCAGAATCCTCAATTGGATTAAAAACCTCTAATACGTAACTTTCAAAAAAAAAAATAGAAAAATGGCAACCTTGGAATGAAGTTACGTTTCTTCGTCCGGAAAACAACACATTGATGCTCGAGGTGGCTATGAGGGAGCTCGATCGTCCCAGTTTTCCCTGTTTTCGGAGCAAGGATGTTGATCCGAATTGGGCGCGTTACAGGATACTGTTTGCCGAGGGGCGATTTCCCGACGGTTCCTGAGAGAGGGCGACAAAGTAGACCGCGTGATCCGCGTCTGTGGGCGCCTGTGTGTGTGTCGAGACTCGTGCTCGGGAAACGGGACGTCCCAACCCTGACCCGCATCCCCGTATCCCGCGGTGGAAGTTAAGTCCCTCCACCGACCACTTTACGCCGGCCCAATCAGTTGAAATACTTTTTGGTTCACTGGACTCCCATTCCCCGTTCCCCGTTTCCAATTCCCAGTTCCAAGTTCCCCGTTCGGAAAGGCAGGAACCGTTTTGAGAATAACGGTAGAGTTGCGGAGAGGGAACTTAAAGTTAGTAAAGTGAAAAAGCCACCTATGCCACCCCACACCGATCGATCTTTGTTTGCATTTGTTGTTCGGTAGTTCTTAAAGTGCCTGGTATCGAATTATAATTTCCCTCTACTTGCGGGGCATCGGTGGGCCACTAGACAAGGGAAGGTTATCAGTGGCGAGTGAATGATCGATTATCGATATTTTCCCATTTAAAGCTATGGTGAAGAATCGATTATTAAGGTATTCGCTTCGAACACCCTACTTATCGATCCTTTTCCATTGATTCAAACGGCAGATCAACTGATGTATCGCAAAGCACGCCACGCCACTGACAGTTATGTTAAGCTGCCTTTAATTTTACACTATTGTTCATGATTCACTAGATCACAAAGTCTTCTAGTAGGTCGATAAGCTCTGAGGACAGAAGCTCAAAGCTCTAGCAAAAAGTTACCTGTTGTGGATATCAATCAAGTAAAACATTAGTGATTCATTTTTTTAAAAATACTTTCTATTTACATAAAGTTCACAAAAATATACGAATACATTTCGAAACATCGTAATTTACAGTTTTCATATTAAAAAAACAAGTAAAATATACACATCTTCATTTTTTACAAAAATGTACAGTTCAATTATACACTAAACTCATTTTTAAGTCTAAGATTCAATCGTGGTTCATGGACTTCGGGGATATGATTAAACCAGCAAGAGTGAGGAACTCGAATATGTTTTAGATATATACGATTAAATGGGGTATCTTTGTAAAAGTTGGGACATGTAAAATGATGAGCTAGCATGCACTTCATTAGGATTGTATCAACATCAACAGCCTAAAGTATTTGCATCGTAAGTACATTAGAATGTCGTGCATGAGGAAAAAAAGAAGAATAATAGCGGTTACTAAATTCTTGATGGTATTTAATCTAGCAGCCTCTACTAGATTTCAGACGGATCCTATACCACACGGTTGGTGAACATAACCAGTTGCATGATTAACAATGGCAGAAATCTACCACCGATCACGCGATGTTCTGAGGATCATGAAGAATTACAGGCATCAAGTAACCACTGGTATCCTTCTTTTCCGTGCAATGTATTCATCTCAAGAGGCCAACAATTATAATTTGTCGTAATTTGATGATAAAACGGAAAGCCCCTTTAATAATAATGACCCTTCTTACGTACAGTATGTATAGCCTATAATGTTTTACTCGCTACTCTTTTATCAAATAGTACAGTTAGAGATATTTTTATGAAAGTTAATTTCCTGTGAGGTCTGTCACTTTAGAAACACTAGTTCTGGTAGTGCCTTTTATTTTTCCGGAGGACTGTAAGAAAGACGGATATGAATCTTGTAACGCCTCATTTATGATAGAACACTGATCGATAATTTGACGTTTAAAAATTGCATTGCTTCAGTGATTCCTCACACAAAATGTTAGTGAAAGGAGAGGTGATATGTTTTTAATTAATTATATTTGGATGGATAAAACAAAAATAATGTGATAAATTGCGTCAAAACATAAAACATGGAAGACAAATAAAATCGTGGTAAAATCGAAAATCTGAGCAGAACATATCAACACCTCTCTAAAAAAAAGAAAAAAATGAACACATTGACATTATTGCAAACAATCTGAGGAGATCATAAATATCATTTTTTGAACACAACAGCTAGATAGCTCAGTATAGTAGCTCTGTTAAAATCGCTTTTCAGTCATGTATAAGTTCAATAGGTAGGTGTACTTGCACATATGCATACTCTCATAATTGCATCAGTCGGTTACCTACTGTTGCATTGCCTTATTCTCAAGCATTCAGGTGCCAATCTGCAAGTACAATTTGCAACTATGTATTCATTGTAATAATTTAAATTCACACTTACAAAACAGGAATACGCATTAACAATTTCTCGACGAATACTGTAAAATTTCAAATTACTTTAACCGTGATTGATTCAGGTGATTTCTTTTATGTTAGGGCATATGCTGCACTCGGCCAAGATAAAATGTTATCAATTTTTGGCCAAAAATTGACATAATTATCTCACATTTATCTAAAACAACAACTTTGCATGTAAAAGTTCCTCGTCTGCTTTTTTTGATCCGTGAATTAAAAATGAGAATATAATCACACAATTGAATAATTTTTTCACTGGTTTTCATTTTATATTTTCTTAATCAAATCTTTATGACCATTATACTTATGCTTTAATTTGTTAAAGCCCGCATCACAAAAACACGGAGGAGGTTTTAATTTGAACATAAAATAATAAAGTCTTACTTGAGGCTGGGCAGTTTTAAGACTTTCACTTTAAAATTCTACTATGTCGAAAGATTCCGTGGGCCGTTCGTAAAATACCGAAAGCTAAAGGGGACAGGAGCTTGAGGAGAGTATTACGCAATTTTGTTTTCATGAAATAAAGGATAAGGACCTACGTTACGATAGCGTTACAAAGGGGAAGGGGGCCGAAGAATCCGAAATTTAGCGTTACGAATTTTTATGAATCTAGGCAGAAACCTAAACTCCGGAGATGACGCTGACAGTTAAAAAAGTCATCTAAAATATTTCAGAAATCGACGACGATGATAGCATTGATGAGGACAACGAGGATGATGGCTCATAGATTTGTATTTAACAAAGAAATGCGCTTAAAAGGGGTCATGGAATCTTTTCATGAAATAAGAGTAGATTTATCGCTTGATTGCAGGGAAGGGTCAGGAACAGAGGTTGAAATGTGCATGTTTGTTTAAATACTTAAATTACTTGGTGAATGGCGGAAATTTCCTTGGCTTTCAAATCGGACAAACATCAAGGTAGTTTTGATAAAATCGGTGCATTTGTCGGAATGAGCGCGTTTAAATGGAAAATTGCTGCCCATTGATGAGGCGGACCATCCTCCTATCAAATTTGAAGTAAATTTTCTCCGTGCATGATCCTTAACCAGAAATAGTTTTAAAAATATTCTAAACTCAGCTCATTCAATAAATTTTATTTTACCACTGTTATTTTTTTTTTTTTTTTTTTTTTGTAGGTATGTGTGTCGCAAGAGATGGTTTGAAATTTTCAAGGACTTTCAGATCCGCAGAAACGTTTTGCTTAACAACAAAACTGCACAAGAAAAAATGAGGAAGAAATACTGTAATGAAGCAATACTTCTTGTGCACCTTGCCCAAATTCTGTGATTCCCTGCTGGGCACAAATAATAGATTATCTTTGAGTGTATATCCTCTTTCTATTTTTGTGTAATTTTTTTTTATTCTGCACTTTACCATCCTCTAATTTTGTGATCATTTAGACAGTAAAAACATTTTAAAAAATAGAAACAAAAACTTATCTGTTTGATACTTCACGTTGTGCTTATTTCTTTAAAAAAAAACACGCGTTTCATCATTGGAGATTTGTACAAAAAAATAAATTAAAACAGTACAGTACGTTCAAAAAACGCGGTTGCGTTTTGAGTCGCCTCTTATCACGTTCTGCAGGGACTGTCAACTAAGACGGCAACGTAGAGGTGGTGAGTCCTTTAAAGTTGAAAAGGGATTTCAGGGATCAGACTCACAGGTCGTCATCACAACTGTTGTCAAGAAACACGGCAGATGACCTGGACGCTACGTCCGCATATTCACGAAGACCCACACTGCAGAGCTTACTGTTCATTTCTAAATCACGTTTGCTGAGAGGAGATAAAACAGAGACACAATTAAAAGTAAAAAAAAACCAAAACTAGTGAAATATATGTAATATTTTTAATGAGACTGGTATTTTTCGTAAGTTCGATTTGAAATTATTCATCTTTTTTTGAATTTTTTAAGAAAAAGCAACATTTTTCTGTGTCTTACTTCGACCGTAGAGACGATTCGAAGTCTCAAGAATGTGCATTTTTTCTTTCGGGTAGAGTATTGGGCTGAAATGGAAAGTATTGCCATTTCAAATCTAGTACTTCTCCAGCATTACAGGCAGCTCCCACTTACCTGGACGTTAATCTAAAAATATTCAAAAGGAAGAGTCAAATATTTAGTGTTTGATTCTTGGAATAAGGATGTAAGTTTTCTTCATCCCCCCCCCCCCCCAATCGTT